CAAGAGGAATTGTGGGGAATACTGGACACACTAGGCGTGGAAGATGTAGTCACTAATCTTTTAAAGGATATCTATAAAGGTAACAACGTAGTTATAAAGTGGGAAAAACAGGTATCCAAGTCTGCAGAGGTAAAACGGGGGCTTAGGCAGGGGTGTCCTCTGTCACCCTTATTATTCATGATGTACCTATAAAGATTAGAGGCCAAATTAGAGAAAAGTGGACTGGCTTCAACCTCTCTTTTGTCAAACAAGGAAAACTCATTGAACAGGCACTACCAGCATTGATGTACGCAGATGATATAGTGCTAATGGCCGACAACAAGAAAGATTTGTAGAGATTGTTGGACATCTGCGGTAATGAGGAAGATAGGTTAGATTTTAGATTCAGTAAGGAAAAATCAGCAGTCATAAATTTTAATGACAATGAAGGTAGTGAGCTTAGAATACAGGAGTTCACGCTAGAGGTAACAGATAAATACAAATATCTGGGCGTACGGATAAGCAATGGGGCCGAGTACCTAGGGGAACACGAAACATACGTGACGACTAAAGGTAACAGGAATGCAGCGGTAATGAAAAACAGGGCACTGTGGAATTACAATAGGTATGATGTTGTGAGAGGCATATGGAAAGGGGTCATGGTTCCTGGTCTGACGTTCGGCAATGCGGTCTTGTGCATGAGATCAGAAGTTCAAGCAAGATTAGAAATTAAGTAACGTGGAATAGGTAGGCTGGCTTTAGGGGCTCACGGGAATACACCAAATCAGGGACTGCAAGGTGATATGGGATGGACGTCATTTGAGGGCAGGGAAGCAGCTAGCAGCAAGATACAATTTGAGAAGCAATTGAGAGAAATGGGGGAGAAGCATTGGGCTAGGAAGGTTTTCAGCTACTTGTACACGAAGAATGTCGATACAAAATGTAGGAAGCGAACCAGGAAATTGATGGGTAAATACTTAGAAAACAGCAGGGGGCCAAACAAACAAAAAAAAAACTATTGGTTAAGAAGAAGGTGAAGGAAGCTGAGACCTACATGTGGAGAATTGGCATGATTAAGAAGTCTGCACTAGCGATCTATCGAACTTTTAAGCAGAAAATTGCCAAGGAAAGGATCTATGATAATACTCGGGGTAGTTCTCTACTGTTTGAGGCCAGGACGGGAGTATTGCGAACCAAGACATATCGGGCCAAATACGAAGGGGTAGACACGGTATGCAGTGCATGTGGAAAGGAAGAAGAAACTGCCGAACACTTGATAATGTTCTGTGATGGGCTTCACCCTATAGTTCAGGAAGATGGCGCAGAGTTTTTCAAAGCGCTGGAGTTTAGAGACAGGGAGGGCAAAATAGACTCTAAGCGGTTAGAATTAACTAGAAGGGGGTTACCTGAGTGGTGGCTAAAGTCAAGGCATGAGTGAAAATTAAACCCTTCAATGCAAAGTACGAATCGTCAACCTCACTATTTAATCCCGGCTGCGGCGGCTGCATTTCCGATGGAGGCGGAAATGTTGTGGGCCCGTGTGCTCAGATTTGGGTGCACGTTAACCCAGGTGGTCAAAATTTCCGGAGTCCTCCACTACGGCGTCTCTCATAATCATATGGTGGTTTTGGGACGTTAAACCCCACATATCAATCAACCTCACTATTTAAAGGAAAAAAATAAATCTAGTTTTTGGTTCATTAAGTATTACGGCTTGGTGGCACTAGCCATCGCCCGATCTAAAGGGTACAGCCATATCCATCCATCCATGAGCGCCGGTGGATGCATGGAATTGCATGGGTTGCCGCCGGTTCGAGAAGAGTTTCATCATGCATTGAGTAAATGCGGCGGGTTTCTTTAACCATTTCATGTGACTTTGAGAGTCGTCTTTTGCATTTTAGTTGACATTTTAGTGCATTATTTTTTCAAATAGAACCACAAATCAGATACAAACACATGTATCAGCGTGCAAAACAAGAAAGAATGATGACAGAGACAGGTTGTAAAAAGTGCTAGCCCGTAAAATACGCAAAAAGACACAAAAAACTCGTATGCAGCTGGCTGCATTGGTTTCTTCGGCACAGGTGTCAGGAATGTTGATTTCCACGGTTTATCAAAGTTTTGATGACAGAAAGGTGCACTGCAACGTAGTCTCGGGCAACTTTTTTTATGTCGCTCAGTGTACCATCACCTGACGAGGTAACCGGCTGGCCGCTTTCTTTTAAAATACTCACGTGTCACCGCAATGTTCTAGGCGATCAGCACTTGATAAACAATGCCCAAGGGCAAGTGTCAATGGGGTTAGCCCATCTAACTACAAAACAGATTGTCTGTCTTGCTCAATAACACGCGCGGCCTGTGACAGCACGGGAGCATTCACGTAGCAACTGATGAGAAGGGCCGTACGTGTTCGCACTCGACAAAACAGACGGCAATGCAGTAGCTCTGGCCTTCGGAGATCACAGGCTTCGTAAGAACATTACAATAAAGTTGTTTCCATCCACCGTATGAACACTTCGCCGACGCACTGGGGTTTCATGCATGTGCGTCCGGTCAGTCACACGTGAACTGTGCGAAAGCATTTATTTCATTGTCGACCTTGCCCTTCGCGACAAGCAAAACTCGGCAGCAAGAACACTTTCACCTTTGACAACACCATGCTTGGCATTGCAATCTAGAAAATGCAGTACGTCCAACAACTGTAATCCGCACATCATACTGAGAAACTTTATGGCGCACACACTCAGATGAAGCTGCGGCGCGGTGGACGGCCGCGCTAGCTCCAACCACCAGGTTCATCTAAGCATCCAGCAATCACATGAAGCAGTGACGACACTCCAGTCCTCCTTGGGAGTGGCCTGTAGGTCATGGCCACGATTTCATCGGAGTTTTCACCACCTAACACATCGCAGGCGGCTACCATCTCGCAGCGTTTACCTTTCGCACCGCAGCGCCCATGACTTCCCTGTATTTAAAATACTTGTAATATGTATTTAAATAACAAACCTACGCTAATTGACTCGTTAAACACCTGCTTAGTAAAATTTTTGTAGGTTTAACGCATTACACATGAATAATTTACACATTTAACGAACTTTAGGTAATAATTTTTAAAGTGACGTCACTTCTGTGCGGCGCAGAAGCCACTTCTGTGTGGGGCTGGCTGCTGTGCCGCGCGGCGCAGAAGACGCTTCCAATGTTTATTTAACACATGATACCGGCTATACGTGTGTACAATGGTAGACTTGTTGTCGCGCACTCTGCTGGATTGAATTTACTGTCTGGACAAGAAAGGGCAAGGACTATGACATTTGACAGAGGCCGCGGCATACAGCGCGCATAGAAAACAACCCAATACAGACAATTTTGCGCATAAATACCTTCGTCTCAAATGGCAAATGTAGATCGCAGGTACATGAATAATCAATGAAAGACACTCTGCAACTGTTTTGAAACGAACCATCACGGAAAATCACTTATTCAACACTAATTCTTCGCACAATGTGTGTGTTTCAAAAACTAGTTACATAACCAGATGTAGTGACAAGGTTTCCATATGATGATGATGATGATGGTCCTTGTTACTCTGGCGCACACCCACAAAGGGGGATCGATCAAGAACCGGGCGGCAGGATCTTAAGTAAAAGGCTTATGGTTTTTCAAACACAAAGTAATTTAATATGTGCACTTTTGTCATCTTTCCTTTTATTTGATAATGAACAGTTGGGAGTATAGCGCGTCATTTTTTACTTTCTTGAGGTTGTCGTTTTTTTTTCTCGTTAATATGCGTTTCTGCCTGTGCACCACCAACCAGTCCAGCAACTCCAACCACCAACCAGCCCAGCAACTCACTCTTTTAGAGACACGTAGTCTTTTACAACACGAAAATCCCCTTGATCCATTTTTCACGGACCTCGGTCACTGGAAACTCATGAAAAGTTACATCAGGAGTCTTCTCTTGCCTTGATTGGCAGATAGGCACGCATCAAACCACCATCGTGATGGTTAATTTGCACCAAGAAACCTCGCTTTGATGGTGTACAAATTGCACCTACCTGCACGCTTCTGTCGCAGCTCGGCACAAGCAGACAGTAGCAAAAGATCGTCATTGTACTTTTAAGTTCATTCGAAAAGATGCTTTTATTCATTTTAATCGTCCAGAGTGTATGCACGCCTAAACATTGCTGCTTTTTTCCCAGCGTCGCGCGAGCAGACGACAAAAAAAAAAAAAAAAAACATTGCCCGCAGCTTCCCTCGGGGGAACACTGAGAAGGATGCGGACCATATAATTGGTTAACGGGGTGTTAAATTGCGACTTACTTGGGTCGATGGCTAAATTGGTTAACGTGGTTGTAGGAGGGGGTGTTAAATGAGTGAACACGTACACACGTATGCGAAAGGGCGGCGCTGGTCGAAGGGACGTCGATCATTGTGTTTGTGGATTCGTTGGAATTCATTTCACCGCGACCTTGGACGTCGACGCGCCGTACAAACCAACCGACGAGCGGCAACTGAGCGAGCGAGCACCGACCTTGAGTATATATACAGCACGACGGCGCATGCACTGTCAGCTGTTGAATGTTCTCGAAGCGCGACGCCACTTGCGCGTCCACTGGAGAATCAGGAGAATTGTAGATGTCGAACGCGGTGTGTAGAGAAGGAAGGGTGCACAGATGGTGGAGGAGTGAAGCGCGCGCGGTGTGTAGAGGAGGAAGGGATGCACAGATGGTGGAAGAGTGGGCGACGGCGCATGCGCGCGCGTCAGCTGTCGAATGTTGGAGAAGCGGTGCGGACGGCGCGGACGGCGCACTACAAGGCGCGAGTATAAGATGCTCCGCATCTAAAAAAAGCGCGGCGATTCATGTTTTGGCCGCCAGCAACCAGTGCGGATGAGGTAAGTTGCAGCGCCAGAGGGCGCATAGCGGCAAGCGCCAATACCAGAAAGGGCGTGCTGGCGCTTCGCTTGCTGGGCAGGTCAGTAAGATACAGTAGGTCGTGGACGCACCATTTTTCAAAAGCCATAGCTTTGTACGGATCCATGCCAAGTTGAGTAGCCAACTGGTAGGTGTTCTGTGACCGGGTCGTAGCAGTCACTGCCGTGGGCAGTGTAACTGAAAGTGCGATGACGGTGAGCATGGTTTTTATTACGCCGATCATACGCATAATAGCCGGCTGTTTCCTAAACTTATACGTTTAAACTGTTACTATTTTCGGGTTTATAATTGTTTTGTTTATGTGCACTTTTTATGGTAAACAAGCGGCAACATTGAGGAGTGCCCTCGGCGCAAAGCATTTGCGGCCGTTGCTCATTTCGATAACGTGTGCGTGCTTTCACGCTGTAGGTGGTTACTTCCTGCTGCATGAATGCCTCTATACATAACTTGTATCAAGTAATGGAGCCACACGTGGCAGAAATCTGGTTGAAACAACGTTACTGGCTGCGAACTCTCGCCTCGACGAGTTGTATATTCATATGCCCGTTCGTATTCGGTGACCACCTGTCAAAACTGAAATATTAAGCGTTTTTTTTTGTTTTTTGCTTTCCTACTTTCTAGTCCGAAGTGGAAGATATATTCAAGAAACTGAAAGACCAGGACGGAGTCGTCGGAGTAGTAGTCACCACGTCTGAAGGTTAGTGCCAGAGAATGTGGCTAGTTTGTTTGTGGTGACAGCCAATTGTCTTGCAGGACAAGGCTGTGCCTTTGTTACAATAGTGATAACTTTGTGACTGCAATAAATGCTGTGATGTGACGCCACACATGTAATCGATTTGTAATGTGCTGCAATGCGTCGTTTACTGGTGAAAATCGGGATGTTTTGGGGTATAAAAATATAGTGCCTCAAAAATAACGGTGTCTAGCATTAGGAGTATATAGTATTTGCGCATTGGTTATCTGGGCGTGTAATTTTCTTACCACACAGCTTTTTTTTTTTTACTTCGCCCGCACCGAGTACGAGTCTATAACAGTATGCCATAAGCGGATGCAAACACCTGCACCATCAAAATACAGTTTTTTGAAATCGCCTGCATTGCATCACATAAAAGAAAGTTTTCACTCTTTGAGGAGGCTTTATCTCGCAGCAATAATGGTACTCTAGTTTGCATATGCTTCTTTTTTTTTTTCGTTAAAACTCGGCACTCGCCACTTTTGTATCTACCATGCTATGTCATGCTGCCAGCATGCATGCCATTTGTGGCTTGGAAGGTACCAGGCACACTAATCCATGTAAAAGCATACTAGACCACTGCAGGATGAATGACTGCAAATGAGTTACAGGTGTTGTCACCTACTACGCTGTTATTGCATGCTAGGCCCAGATTCTGGTGAAGCTAACTTCACTTACATGAACCTAGTCTTCTCTCTCAAGCCAGCAAAAGCTTTGATACGCAGTAGGTGGTTTTCCACTTTCAGCCAAATGAGCTGTGTCGACACCAAAATGCTGTTGACCTTTATTAAAAACTGATATGGCTTGTTTTGTAACTGCCAGTAATGTAAATAAGAATCAAACAATTTGGTTTGTTTTGTAACTGCGAGAAATGTAAATAAGAAGCAAACAATTTTTAGTGTACCTACATAGTTACTGTAACGAATGCACTTCATTGAGTCAAAAACGATGAAACCACCTGCATTTTGTACACAGTGCAGTAACGTAAAGCTCGCTTTCCCATCGTGACAATACTATAGTGAAATGGAAGTTTTATTTACAGCAATACAGGCTTGGTGTGCTTAAACAATGGAGTAGATATGAGGCCATGTCCTCCAAGTGCTACTGCATGTGTGCAAGCTTTCAAAGATGCACAGTTACACAGCCTGCACCACTGCTCTGTAGACAATGGCCATGCACCCACACGTTTGCCCCAAATGTGCATGAACTCCGACACTGAGGCATCTTAATTGACCCTTGTTTTCATATATGCTCTCTGCTGCACCTAACGATACTGCTTGTGAGGTGAACAGTCAAGAGCAGTTGTTTGGGACCAAGATAAGCAAGAAGCAAGAAAAATATTAATAAAATAATGAGGCTTTGTCATGGAGCTTCTTGCTATTATCATTTAATTTAGTTTCAAAAAGAAAAATTACTTAAGCTGTAAGATTAAATTACACCTCTATAACACCCATAAACGGACACCCAAAAACTTACTAATCAGAAAAGGCTTGGCGGGTCGGTAAAAAAAATGGTCCTTTAGTTCTCGTATCACCATAGCATTCTTAATTTTCTCAGCTTTGGCATGGTAATCAATTTTCGTCTATAAACATAAATTGCTTTATAATTGTAAAAGTGCCAGACACTGAAACTAGAAAGTTTCAACAATTTTACTGAGCCACAGCTCTTCAGTATACGAACAAAATTATTTTTAAACTCATGAAATCGTACTGGTGCACTTGGCTTTTGTCTCAAAATTAAGAAATAATGCTGAACTTCAAGTCCTTGCTCCAATAGTATTTTATCTCAAAGAAAATGAGTTCTGCAAGAACACCATATTTCTAGACTGAGTGTTTTTCTTCAGTATCCCTTAAAGGGACACAAAAGTCAAATAATAATTTACGTCAGAGTGAAAGCTCAATGTATGACACCTACTATTATCAACAACAAAGCCCTACTTACCAAGAAATTAAGGTAAATGCACAAGAACACATGCGCCGCAGTAGGACATTTTCAAAATGACCCTGATGACATCAGACGGACCGCCTACAATTAATCACTAGTAATTGATCTAACTGCACTAAGAACCTTCCGGGCATTAAGACACTTAATAAAATGCTGCTTGTTTGTTTCGATTTGATTCATGGAAAAAAAAACACCAGACGTTACTATGGGGAATGGCTTAAGTGGTTCAAAAATTCAATTTTCGCGTGGTTACACGGGACAGGTAGTGCCATCTAGTGGGGCGCAGTTGAAACAAAAGTGTCTACAATGTTGAAGCCAATGGCGGGAAATTAATGAATGATCATTGTTGCTGCTGTGGCTCCCGCTACTTTCGGTCTGCTTCTACTAGCGCAGTAAAGCGGGGCAATGTTGTGCATGGCAACAGTGATGTGAGTCGGTCCGGTCGATCCGCTTCTTGAGGCGGGTAATTTGAAGTGCGCTAACCCGATGTGGAGCACTAAAACATGATTTTATTTCAAAATAGGCCCTTTCTTGGCACAAAAGTAACACTACGAGGTTTCTGGACCACCGTTTTAATAATCAACGTTGACTTAATAGTTGACTTTAGTGCTCCTGTAACTCTTTTGTTACCACGCCTATTCAAATCGATCACCGATGATCGATGCTTTGGGTCGTAAATTTTGGCATGTTGAAATTGTTTCTCATGCACCCAACAGTTTCTAGTAGTTATTCCAGTCACTCAACTTTCAAAATCAATTTGAATTTGCCTGTTTGGCAACAGAGTCTTTTTTTGACAGACCTTTGCACGAACCAATGTGTGTGTGTGTAATTGGGGAAATACACTTGGCTGGCGAACTTTACTGAAGTGCGTCCCCCTCATGGTTATGCTACAGTAACATCAAAGTTCTGTAATCAAAAGAACCTTTGCAAGTCAAATATCAAATTAAGGTGTCAGCTTCGCAATCTGACAGTGTTGAGAAGTAATAATTGGCAGAATTTTACGGCAGCGATTGAATAGAGGTGTTGCTAAGGGTCAGAGAAAATTTATAGTACATAAAAATATCTCCAAATGTCCGCCGCTTGTATAAAGTGTGAAGGTGGCCTTCTTGGCCAGTTTTGAGCAGCTTTGGTTTTGCTTGTATGGTTATATGAGACACAGGGCCGCATTTAGGGTCACTAGTCACTCTTATGCCGTCAACACGCGCGCATGGGTGTGTGCCTGCGCTGCAAAAAACACGCGATGTTCAAAACTGTCTTGCAACAGCACTGAATTGAGTGAGGACAAGCTTAGAGTCCGAGGATGACAGCTCCTGAGCCCCAAGTTTTATGGCCATAAGGGTTTGCGTCAGCCTGAGACATTCGCAGCCGTTCATGTGTTTGCTTTATGGCCTCAAGTTCTCTCCTCCCTTGCAAGTGCGTAGCTGCCGACCTTTGTGCACAATAGCTACTCAGGTTATGTAAGAGGCCCACACGTCGCAGAGGCGCGGTGTGCTGGCGACAACTGCAGAGCTTTTCCTCATGACAAGAAAGCCACCAAACCTCATCTTTGCCCTGACTACAGAGCAGTATGTAAAGTTTAAGGACCAGGCACGATATTGTTCTTTCTTTCTTTTATATATTATGTGCAAAAATCCAAAGAAATATGCTTGGATGAATATATTGGATTGCCAACCTATGTGCAGCAAGGTGGCTTGTAGAAAGAGGTCAAAATAGGGAAGGCCATTAGAGATCTTATTTTTATCATTTATAGAGGGATTATTAACATCATGGGCATCCATATATATTGGAGTACCTGTGCAGGCTCTTATCGCAAAAAAAAAGTTTACTGCGAAAAGTACACGAGTTCACTTGTGTCTCACGAAAAACCAAGCGATGCTTCACCACATGACACATTTTCTATCTATGAGAATAGGAACATTTATTGTTTTTGTACCGTTCCTGGGTCAAAATATATATTCTGAATTTGCTTTGTTTTAAATTTTTTTTCATATATAATATTTATTGCACTGTTTACCAGCCGGCAACCAAAATTACACACTTTTTAATTTTTTATTCATTGCAAAATATTTTTGTTGGTGTGTAACATATATTTTTTGGAAAGAGCATTTCATTGTGGAAAATTTGGTATGCTGCAATACGTACCGGAGTACTTTTTAAACTGGCTAAAACTATCTTCTCGAGATATATGAAAAATAGCCATTTTTGCGTGGTAACAAAAGAATTAATGTGCTATAGACAAAGCAGTGTTGTTAACACACAGCATACATCATTAATTGATATTAGAGATTGTTAATTTGCACATCAGGGGGTTTATTTAGTGCAAAAGTCTGCATGTTTTACATCTGGCAAAGTACATATAATAATTTGCTTTACTTTGTGAACAAACCATCTAAAAAATACTAAGCTTGGAGAAAGCAGTGCTTCAGTTGAAACTTTAGATTACATTATTGCTGAATTCAAGTTTTTTTTCTTGTCCCATGTACTGGCTTCACTTATGGTGATAATAGGGAAGTTTTGGAATTGGGGGAAGCAAAGAAATAGCGTCAAGGCCGCTGCAAATGGGTAAACCCAAGCCGCGTTTGGGTTGGGGGCGCTATTTCTCAAATTTAGCAGGAGCCCCATAACATTTCTTAGCAGGAGCCCCATAACATTTCTTGCTTGATGTTGCTTCTGTGCATTACACGATTCACAAAAAGCATTGTTGTCAAATTGCTTCTTTCAGGAGCAGCCATCAAAACATCATTTGATAATGTAACAACAATGCAGTATGCGACGCTTGTGACACGGCTGTGTGAGCAGGCACGAAGCACCCTGCGAGACCTTGAACCAGGAAACGACTTGACATTTCTCCGGATGCGGACCAAAAAACATGAAATTATGATATCGCCAGGTAATGTTTTTGGGTATTGCAAGTACATTGGAGTAAGAAATTGAGACATCTCTCTGCATACATATTGTTTTAGCTGGTTATTCATCAAGTCCTTGATTGAGACTTTAAGCTGGGTACTAAAAGTGGAAAGCAAGCATAGCTCTGCAGTGTTTTGAACAATTAGCATAACTCTGATTAGAAAGAGAGAGAGGTCTCTCATGCATTTTGTTACTTCTCTTTCTCAATTTCACTAATTATTCTGTAGAACACAAATTCAGCCAAACTGCCACATTAATTTGAAAGAAGCACAATGAAATAGTAATACATTTTTGAGAGAATTGAAAAAAAAAAAAAACATTAAGTCTAAAAAAGTGTTTGAAAAACTCCTGAATGCAGAAATTAATGCTGAACTGGTTTCATCTAATATGTGTACTTGGAGATAGGGGATTGAAATTCGACCTGATAATTTCAAGAAGGGATAGTTAATTTACTGATTTCTGCTTTTGTTCTTTACTTTCCAGATAAGAACTATTTTTTGGTTGTGGTACAGAATCCATCTGGATGAATAAAAGATACCAGAACCTTGACTGGCTTGTCGCCTGCTTTTTATTTGATCTGTGCAATTGCTATAAATGTCATTTACCCCACTTTCAATGGCATCATGTGTGGGAAATCTTTAGACAAATCAGTCTTCAAAAGCATTTTTTCTTCCTACAAAATTATGTCAATTTTTTTAAGCACTAGATTTCAGAAATTCTTCATAGGCCTTTTCATCCATGAGGGACTTCAATTCATCAGCATTCTTCACCTTCAGTTTGAATATCCAACCTGCAATGGTTAAAGGCCACTGTGTTAGCTCTTGAGTTAAAAGGTACACAATGTTCTGTCACGTCAACTGGTGCCTTACATCGGGACACACTGTTCCGAGGCTTTATGCAGACAGCCCACACTTCGTACGGAAAGGTTGACAATACATATCCACTAGTTTCATTTAAAAATGTTTCTTTTTGTACATATAACTTTTTTCAGAGCTACCTAACAAAGCTTCTTAGGAATAGTTTCAATTAAAAGGCATGCTGAGTTGTGAGGAATGGTAAAGATACAGTACCAAATCAGCATAAACTTATCACATCTTGCTTTTACTACCTTGTAGCTGTTAAAAAAAAGTCAATTGGGCATCAAGTTTTTAGTTGGGGTCATAATTCATGGTTATTTACACTAATTCCAGTAATAGAGAGAAAATATAGCCATATGAGAGTTGGTAACCCAGTGCAAAAGAAAAAAAAAAGCTGTAATTTGTGAAATGCATTTTGCCAGCTTTCACAAACGTTAGGCAAATAATACTAGTTTTTACAAGCCAATTGGTCAAGTAAATAAATTCCAAGAACAAAAAAAAACTCCACTTAAAATTTTGTACCATTCTTCAATCTCAGATTAAAACAAGGCAAATATCTGACGGTCATTTATGCTCTTATTCAATAATGCAACTTGAAAATAAGAGTATCTTGCAGGCTTTGCTGAATGTCACTGTTATATGAAATGGCGGTCTGGACTTCATAGCCACCAGTTTCGATAGCTTAGCAGATAAAATGTGTAGCTAAGATTGAATGTGCGTTTGATTCCTGGCCAAAACTGTTCTAAATAAAACTGCTTATGGTAAAAAGAAACATATATATGATGGTTGCTTTTTGTGAAACTTACGGTGTGTCAAAAAGCATTGCACACCAGCTTAGGAAAGTGTTTGACTGCAGTTCCTGTCTGCAGCTTTACAACTGCAGCAAACCATGCAGTTTGTTCACGCGAGTCTTTTTTTTTTCCTCACTCTCTCTGTATGACCTTGAGAGGTGTGTAAAGAATGGGAGTGGAGGAGGGGTGTGCAGCCAGACCGCTCCTCTCCCCCTCTTTTGCATGCAAGAGAGGGGGAGAGAATTGTAACACAATTAGGTATGAAAACATATCAATAACACAATGGCATACAAAAACAATATACACATGTGGTAGAGCACAGCTTATGGTGAAGATTACTACTATATCTTTCAGCACATCATCAAGTGCTGCTATGCTCCTCCCATTAAAATGCACTGGAAGCTTGTAAAAATCATGCCAAACAGCTTCCACAGTTGTACACAATAGCTTTTTTTTTTAATTCAGATACCATAAATGCCCAGAAGGCATTACATAGAGGGATAGCAATGGATGTCGAAAATAATAGACAAAATAAACACTGAACACTATAACAAAAGTACAAAAACAAGAGTCAGTAAAAACAAAAAAAACATTTCAAGGTTAAACATTGACTAAAAAGCAACCAAAACAAGAAAAGCAACGACAATTCAAGCACTTAACAATAATATTTTTATTTGAGGGGGGACACAGGTCTTGATAACATTTAGCTCAGAGTTATATAAATTACTTTACACGATTGACAAACGAGTCAATGAGTGCGATGTCAGTAGGGAGAACGTTCCATGCATGAATGGCGATGAGAAGTGGCGAGTGATAAAACAGATTAGTGCGGGCGAAAATGGTTCGATATTATACTGGCGATTTAGTCGTGAAAATATATGACGAGCTGGCTTGATATTGAAAACATCGTGGGATGAATGATTGTAGTAAAGCTTACGAAACAGGGACAATAGTGTTAGCACCTTGCTCTTTGCTAGAGAAGCTAAATTGAGTGAAGATTTGATTTATGTTTGATGCGTACAAGTAATTTTTTGTTACGAAGGGAGCAGTCTTATTTCGTACAGGCTCCAGCTTCTGTATAAGGTAGGCCTAATTCAGATTCAAGATTAAGGTGGCGTATTCAGTTTGTGAGCATACTAGGGTCTTGTAAGCAAGAGGTGTAGTCTCAGGGTTTGCTGGATGCAAATTTCACCTTACGAAGCCAAATGCTTTACTAACAATTGCGTCTATTACGAGCTTACATGACAGGTCTGATCATAAATGACCACCAAGGAACTTCACTGTGGATACAGAATCGATGGGTGCGTTCAACGTGTCGGCGTAACGCAAGTTGACCACTGCTCCGGGCATGATAGCTTTTGTTTTATGTACAACAACTTGCATCTTCCGCTCATCATACCATTTACCGAGACATGCATCTATTTACACTTGTGGCTGCAATACTAAACTGCAAATCTTTTTCTGGTCTCTATAGGCTTATCGTGCTAGCTCTCTTTGTGAGCAACCATGCATGAAGCTGCTGTGGGATGGTTATCGAGGATTACAGTGTAAGAGACCTTTCAAGATAGGTGCATGTGAATTTTCCCCACTTGTTAAAGTTTCATTACAGTTGTCACTTACTACACCACAATATAGCTTCTTCTAACTTTATTTCTTTTAAGTAGCCTGTTCATTTAGCCCAAGACTTTAAAAATGTGTGCACATGCACTGGTGTGCAGATTCTCACCTTCATTATAACAGTCGCTATTCACAAGTGCTGGTTTGTCTTCAAGCGCTTTGTTGACCTCTGTGACTTTCCCTGAAACAGGTGTATAAATCTCGCTGGCAGCCTTAACACTTTCTATGGCACCACATTCATCTGCAAGACAAGGTAATGAAACATGCTTAATTATGAAACTGCATGTGTGATAGAGCAGCACTAAAATGTACAAAGAAATTCTCTTTATTATTAGCTCTCCTTATTATGCAGTATTTCTCAGTGATAAAAGTAAGCTAACTAAGGAGAATAGAAGCTCTAAAAAGTAGAAGGGCAGCTATATGCACTTGTTTGTATGGAACAGTCTGTTTTAGCGTAGGTGATATGACAGAGAGGTACCAGAAAACCATACTGTTAGACAGCGCACAGTGTTGTATGTGTTTCGCTGCATCTTTCTGCGTGTCCACGATGCAACAAAATAAAGATATACTAGAACACCTCTGGTTAATACAAAGCGAGAATTTTTTTTAGCAGACTTCTTTTAATTTCAAGAAAATACAAATGTTGATCACCCTTGTTCTACACATGCTTAAATACATCAGTTGATTTTTAAGTGCATTTTGCATTTGGTTTCTTTACTATTCCTTCCATTTCATTTACTTGCGACTTTCTTGAAATAAGAAGTCTTTTGCAAGTGAGCACACCTTTCTTTGTCATGAAAGTGTAGATTTTTCATCTTGAATTATGCAGGAAAACTCTTAATCCACATATATTTGCCCAACATTATATTTAATCTACAAGAATGTAAAGCTCAGGACATTGGTACGTTTGAACATCACATGAAAACTTGCACACAAACACATGAAACAAGAAAACGCTTCAACACCAGTGAAGCATTATACGCTTTTCTTGTCTTGTGTGCTTGTGCACAAGTTAACATAGCATTTCTTGTGTCTCACCTACTCATACTTCAAAAGAGAAATTTTGCACGTTTGTATGTACACTGTAAAACTAGGTGCTTTTTTTTTAGAAAGCCGAGACTAACACCAGGTTTCGAAATTTATGTTAATGCTGCTTTTTTTTCTCTGTTGCCTAGGCATGGGCATCAAGATTGCACTGTTTAAGTTAACGGAATATATGCATGAGAATCATTAGCTGTATGTAGTATACATTAAATTTACTAATGACAGTAGGTGCACTTATGTTGATTGACATAAAGCACACGTTTTACCGCAGGTTTGTTGGGCCAGATAGTTATTCATATTCTTGCAAAGGTGTTTCATCATATATACCTTCCGATTACTCCATATAAAGGAAAGTCATTACAGAACTTTAAATTGAAATGTATTACAGCTGTTCACTAGTACACCAGAGACAAGTTTGAGTGACAGAACTAGTGGCACCACCTCATGGCATTCACATCAACTGTAACATGCATAAGTATAATTAGAACAGTCATGTTTACATCCATATTTTGTTTATCTGCCAGTGCAGCTGGAATCACTAGTATGCACTAGTTTTACTTTAGTTCATGCTCTTTGTGAGAACAATGACGAAATACAGCTATGATAAATTTTTCTGCGGTATGAAGACGAAGGAATGCTCGCGCGTGCTACCAGCACTCCACTGCCATGTAGCACAAGCAACAATGACAAACACAGTAACAATTACTTAAAAAGTGGCTTTAGGTTATCCTGAGAAGCCCGTAATGAAACAACAACTCACGCTAAATGTATGCCACATTTTTATTTGATTTAAAGCTCTTTTTTGGTGATATAAATGCGGGTAAGTATGCCTTTTTTTTAATGCAAGAGTTTGACAAAAGCTCATCTTGTCGGGAGTAATCACGTTCAAAAGGTAAAAGCAAGATGCTGACCAAAAATACACTTCTATACAGAGGCGAGGCCTTGTTCACAAGTATGTTTTTTAATGTGTTTTTCGGTCGGCGTCTTGCTTTTACCTTTTGACTATGCTTTTTTTTTCTTGAATCTCCTCTCTCCATTTTTTTTTTTTTGCAAGTTGAATAACTTTTGCGGCCTTGCATCAATTTTTGCAATTCTTTTAGCAGTCACCTTGGGACTATATGAGAAACACATTGCAGTGCAACACTGGCAGCAAAAATAGCATTGCAGGGCCTTATACGGCCAGTGAATGCTTGCCTTTCTTCCTTTTTGTCTTGCATTGGGTGTCAAAGAACAGATGCCT